TGTAGTTGTTGTGGGCCCTTCAGTCTCTTTATCAGGTGTGGGGAGTCCCAGCACAGTTGGCTGCAAGTTCTAATACCACATTTGTGTTGCAGTATTTCTTTTAAGTGAGTGGGCCCCCAGCGTGGCAGGTTGTTAGGCTCAGGGCCTTACAATTGCTATAAGCCTCCAGCCTTTAGGTCTCTTGTCAGCTCTCTGAGGATTGCAGCTGGATGCAGCTGGCCTCAGGCACTGGAGCACCCAATTGTTTCAGGCTTTGGAAGGTGGGGCAAACCCCCTATGTGGGTCTTTGAGAAGCACAAGTCTTCTGCAGCTAACAAGCCCTGCTGCCCACAGGTCCACACACATAGTCAACACAGTCTTGCCCCATGCGTACGCCCCAACCTCCTGAAGTGGACTCAGTCTCTCCATGGCGGGAGCCCTACACACTCCACCACTGCCCCACACTCTCCACCCACCTCTTGTGCACACCCTGCCCCGCTGAAGTGGGCTCAGTTGCCAGGCTGCAGAGAATCCAGTCACCAATCTATGCAGGCCCACAAGTTGCCTGAGGGCTTGTTGTTGGGTGGGGCCAGTCTCGAGGGTGGGCTGCCTGCCCTTACTGAGCTGGATTAAATCGGTGCTCTAGTGAGTGGGGCAGGCCTGGGCTAGCAGGCCCCAGGGAAAACTCCAATGGCGTCTGTGTCAGAACACCCACAGCAGGCCACAACAATGGCCGCTGCCAATGTCCCAGTCCCTGGAGAGGTCTCACCTCTCACTGCAATGCACTCAGAGCCTATCAGGTGAGTCTCCTTTCCCCAAAACACTGTGCACCTTTCTTTATGGTTATTTTAGGTTGCTTTCTGAACTGGGTGACTTTGCGTGTGGGCCTTTTAAGAGCCGGTTTTAATTTCTTTGTGAACCAGCTTTTCTGGGGGGGTACTCCCCAATGTTTTATTAGCAGGCAAAGTCAGATATTATGCCACTCGTCTCCATTGTGCTGGGTCCACAAAATGCCCACAGCGAGAGCCCTCCCCGGCTCAGGGCCCCACTCCTCCAGGGAGGCCTGTGTACCTTTGGGCTGCTCCCAGGCGGCCGTGAAGCTGACAGCTTGTGAAGATGATGTTGTTTTCTCTCCAGAAGGGAATTTCTGCCTCTTCCACCTCGATTAGGATTGTGCTTTGTTGCAGGACTTCCTCTTATCCTGTTTTCAGTTCTCTCTTGGGTAATTTTTCCACAAGTAGTTGTAAATTGGCTGTGTCCACGACAGGAGGTGAGTTCAGAGTCTGCTTATGCCGCCATCTTTACTTGGGCTCTTTCTCCTTGCCCTTTTAGAACTACGAAGTTAATATAAACTGGAGGAGGAAGTTTTGCTCTAAATTATTTCACGCAGCCACTTTGTTATTATTGAACATTAAAGTTTTTCTAACTTTTCGGTACAATGAATGTCTTTATGCAGCTTTCTTTTCTCACGATTTGTGTTAGTTTCCCAGGCCTGTCATAACTAATTACCATAAGCTTGGTGCTGTAAAACAACAGAAATTTATTTCCTTACAGTTTAGGAGACCATAAATCCAAAATCAAAGCATCGCTTGAGTTGATTCCTTCTAGAGGCTCTGAGGGAGAATCTATTCCATGCCTCTCTCCTAGCTTCTGGGAGCTGCCAGCAATCCTTGGCATAGCAGCATCCCTCCAATCTTTGCCTCCATCGTCACATGGTCTTCTTCCCTGTATGTCTGCGTACCTGAATCTCCCTCTCCTTTCTCTTATAAAAACACCAGTCCTTGGATTTAGGGAACACTCTAATCCCATATGACCTCATCTTAACAAATTACATCTTCAAAGACCCTATTTCCAAATAAGACCAAATTCTGAAGTTCCAGGTAGACATGAATTTGGGGGGACACTATTCATCCCAGTACACCATTCATTACAAAGCATCACCTGAAAGTCAGTAAGGTCTCTCTGTTGTGGAATAGGTGATCTTTTGTGAAGATTAGTTTGAAAATGAGTTGAATTGTAAGATGGCATTGACTTTTTTGTTGGGGTAATTCCTCCAGTTAAGCTAGCTCACATCCTCTTTTTGCTTATTTTATTCACATTGTTGAGAAAAGGGCAGAGAGGTCTGTGGACAGGAAAGGGTTGGCAGAGCCTCACCCTTCTCAACTCTGACTTGCACGTCTGCTTTTAATCTAGAGCCAAATAACTATCGGACCATGCATGGCCGGGCAGTAAATGGCAGCCAGTTGGGAAAGGATTACATCCAGCTGAAGAGCCTGTTGCAGCCCATCCGGATTTACTCCAGAGCCAGCTTATATGGCCCTAACATTGGGCGGCCCAGGAAGAATGTCATCGCCCTTCTAGATGGGTAGGTCAGATTATTTAGCAGTTCTTATAACATTGTTCATTAAATGTAATGAATTAATGTATTTGTGTTTTTCCTGGTTATTTCTGGTCTTAAGAAGGATGGAGAGACTTTTTCCAGTGGTTTCTCCCACTCTAAATCAGGGCTTCTCCATCAAATAGGAAGAACTTGTCATTTCTCCAGGTCTTCCACAGGTGGCAGAAAGTGGTGGGATTGGGGAGGGATATCACAATCTCTAGGACAGATTGGAAAGGATGCATTGTTTAAAAAAAGCACATTTAATATTACAGCATTTCATAGCATCATTTTATTTTTTAAAAAAGCAAAATAATATCTATTCTATTCTTGTAACCTTACATAAAGTAAAGCTTGGCAGAATCCTGGCCTGTGGAGCTGGGTTAAAAAGCTGAGAAACACTACAAATACTTGTAGATTAAAGTACAACTTAACCAATAGATTTATTAGGTATTCTGGAGAATTGCTATCATGCAATTTTTTAAAATTTGACTAAATCTAATAATCTTTTTTTATGCATTGGTTATGAATGAGGTACTATGTTAAATGCTCTCTGCCCCAGTCCTACTGGTGGGCCAGGCCCAGAGTGAATGACTGGACATCCATGCAGGTTGGGTCCCCTTATGGAGGATGAGAGGGGATGTCTGAGGGAATGGCATGAGGAAGGCTGAAGATGTATGTTGAATCCAAGATCCAAAGTGGAGATGTAACTGGAGCAGGAAGGGTAGAAACAATGAAGTTGGAAGACTCAGGAGTTCTTCTGGAACACAGAGTATGCACCAAGGCACACCTTTTATGTGGCATCTTGTCATACTCCGGAATAGGTATGGCTATTCCTGCAAATTCAAAGATAAGTGAGACATTTTCCAGTGAAGTACACAGCCCAAGTGAGGTTAGATAAATGCCACATGAATACAGATATCTGAGGAAAGAGAAACCTTTGGCCAACGTCTCGGATGGCCCTTGTGGCGTGATGGCTCCTGTGACTCTTTCTCCTCCCTTTTATGGTGGCTTAGTCTTGATCTAAGCTAATGAACATAGCAGACATTACTGAAGGTTTGGGAAGGCAGAAGGATTTACATTGTAACAACATTAACAACCTGAAATTTTTTTTTTTTTTTTTTTTTAAAGATTTTATTTATTTATTTTTTCCCCCAAAGCCCCAGTAGATAGTTGTATGTCATAGCTGCACATCCTTCTAGTTGCTGTATGTGGGACGCGGTCTCAGCATGGCCGGAGAAGCAGCACGTCGGTGCGAGCCCGGGATCCGAACCCGGGTCGCCAGCACTGGAGCGCGCTCACTTAACCACCAAGCCACGGGGCCGGCCCTGAAATTTAATTTTAAACATTTTCCTCTTTACAAAGTCTTCTTAAGCCCTTGCTTCAACTCCTGTCCTTTCCCCGTTCTTCTTTTTTCTCCCCTTCTCCTCTGGAGCAACTTTCCCTTTTTCTTGAAGAACAATTTCATGACCTTGGCCCCTACCCACAAATGTAGCTCTGGGCTTCCCTTTGCATACTTTCACTGAACTTTGAAATTACTCTGTGTGTGTGTGTGCGCGCGCATGTGTATGGGATGCAGTTGGAGAAGTTAGTTCCATTTTATGTGTTATAATTAGGGAATAAGAATAACATGTGTAGAACTTTATTCACAGTTCATAATACATAATCAAGCAAAGCCAATAATTCTATCATTTAAGCCCACATAGTTATTCTTTTGGATTATCTTTTTTTCTTTAATGTTTTGATTAATGTATTCTCATTGGACTGACAATGTCTTCTGAGTATCCTGACCCTGTATCAATCTTTCATTCATCCTGCAAGTGTTTCTTGAGTAACTGCTATGTTCTGGGTACTTTGTTAGGAACTGGGACTGTAAAAATAAGCAAAAACAGATACTTTCTCTACCCTCATGGAGTATATAATGTGGTAAGGGAGACACAGACATTAATCAACTGATCTTAAAACTGAGACAATGCCAAGAGAGGTACGTGGTGCTATGAATGACTATAAGGGCTGGGATTTGACCCAGGAGGGCATGGAAGTGTTCCCTGAAGGAGTCACACATAAGAGAAAGAGAAATATTTAAAGTGTAATCTAAATGATGAGTAGGCCTTATCTAGACAAGGTGAAAAGTGAACAGTATCAGTGTTCTTGAGAGAAAGAAAGGGATGTGCAATGGCTCAGGGGATGGAAAAAGGGCCAGGTTGGCTAAAGAAAGGTATAGCTAGAGAAGTAATTAGGAGTTGTATTATATAGGGGCTTATAGGCATAGTGGAGGTGTTAGAATTTTTTCTAAGTGCAGTGGGAAAGATATTGAATGTTTTTAACCTGGGGAGGGAAATAATTTGATTTATTATACAAAAAGTATGCTGCGTCTACTCTGTGGAAAATGGATTTGGAGAGGAAGCAGGGAAGTCAATGAGAAGGCTGCTGCAGTAGAATGACGGGGACCTGGACTAGGATGGTGGCAATGGAATATATTGTTGGAGGTAGAATCCACAGGACTTGACATATTGGATAAGTGTATAATGATGTGACATAGGGATGTGTAAGTAGCTGGGTGAATTGTACTGTCATTTACTGAGATGAGAAGACTGGGGGAATAATTGGTTCTGGGAAGAAAATCGTAACTTTAGTTTTCCTTTTATGTTTATTATGCTTGAATCTATATGTAGGTATCAGCTGTATCATTGAATATGAGACAAGGGATCAAGGTCTCTGCTAGAAATGTTAATTTAGGGGTGTCATTAGCATAAAAATGAGATTTAAGCCCATGGGGATAGAGTAGATCATTTAGAGAGAACGTGGAAAGAGAAGAAACAGAGGCTTAGGAGATGATATGAAAAAAGAGGAATGGCCTCAGAGGTAAGAGGAAAGGCAGAGATTGAAGTGTAACAGGAACCAAGGAAAGAGAGTTTTAAATAAGGAGGAGTGCTGCTAGGAAGCCAGGAGGTCAAGTAACAGGAGGACAGAAAGTGCCGTTGGATTTGGTAACATGCAGGTTGTTGGTGCCTTGAGAAAAACAGTTCAGTGGAGTGGTGGGAGCAGAAGTCAGATCACAATAGTTTGAAGAGTGAATGGGGGGTGAGAAATTGGAAACAATGATGCAGACAACAACTCTTAGGAGAATTTTTACTATGAAGGAGAGCAGAAAAATGAAGGGAGATGTGGAATCAAGGAAGGTGATGGCATTTTCCCTCTTTAGTGTGGAAGACAGCAGAACAGGTTTATATGTTGATGAGACTTATCCAAGAAAGGAGAAGAGCTAGGTGATACAAAAGATTGAGGATATAACCAAAGTGAGAAGTTCTTTTAAGGTTAGCAGAAATGGAATCCAGAGGGATTGGCCTTCATTCAATGGAGGGGCAATTCTATCAGGGTAACAGAAGGTAAGAAACAAATATTTCTCTAAGAAACAAATATTTCTCTATGTCAGAGATTTAAAAGTCAAACTGAGGAGACACTTCTACCCAGCACATAAGGTGTAGTTAGGGCATCCCAGTTTGTGTACATGGTGTAAATGTGAGCACATAGATGCTGGTTTGTTATGAATATGTCAAGAAACTTGGACACAACAGTAAACGACAGATGAAAGAAATGAGCACGTGACTAGGTATTGTGGTGGCAAGTGTTAGGGTGCACTTCCCCATACGAAAACTAATAGGACTCAAGAGACTAGAGAAAATCACTCAGGGCAAGGAAAGGTACTGATGAGCATTTTTTTCTTTTACATGCCAGAAGAAAAATGAGGATTTATCTTTCTTAATATATATGTGCTAAATATACAGTGAAATATAACTTGAAACACATAAGCATTCCCAGCAACTCAACCAACAATAACAAAAATGTCAGCACTCTAGATTACCAGCTCTGTAATCTTTTCCAGTCCTCTCATATAACCAGATATAATTTTATATAGTTGTGATCATTGTATATGCATCATTTTGAGTTCTGCATTTTTTAGTCATTGCTGTATATTGTCCTTTCCTTATTTCTACATAGTTCTCGTATTTGTCATTCTTAATAGCAATAAAATATTCCATTGCATTAAAGTACCAAAGTCTGCCTAAGCATTCCCTCACTGTTGGGCATTGGGCTGTTTCCAGTTTTTGTCTGTACTATATAGCATGGCTATAAACATCTTTATACAAATAGGTTTTTTATTTCTTTTGAATTACGTCCTTGGGCTATTTTCCAAAAACGTTGGGTTTCTGGGTCAAAGTATATGATAATCTGTATGGCTCTTATATTTGTTGCCAAATTTCTTTTCGGAATAATTTCATCAGGTTGCAAAGCAGCAATGTGTTAGTGTATCTTTTTCCGCAATACCTCACAGCAATGAGTATTGTCATTTTTATTAATTTCCCCTGTTAATTAATGCAAGAGCTCACCTCGTGTTGTTTAAATTTGAATTCTATTAACTGTGAAAAGAACTGAACATTTTCCAAACTCTTATGTTGTCTCTTTTCCTCCATCCCAGGTTTGGTTAATGACACAATAACCAGTTTGCCTGAGGCGCAGACCAGCAGGCCATTTTAGATTAATTCCTCTCTTTTGTTCACATACTCCATTAGTTAAGTTCTGTTATTTCTGACTTCTTAGTATCACTCATATCCCATCTTCTTTTCATTTTTATTTTAAACCTTATCATTTTCCTCCTAAACGATTTCTCCATATCTAGTCTCTGACTCTAATAATTTCTCCATATTGCTTTCTGAGCAGTTTTTAAAAAATGTAACATGTGGTCAAGTTGCTCTTGCTTGAAATCCAAACCCTTTCACATGCAGGGTCCAGGGCCTGCCTCACTTTGCAGATAGTAAACAACTATACCCCCTTGTACAACCTGTTCTTAGCTACATCAAAGTATGTGTAAATTTTGGAAAATGCCATACACTTTTTTACCTTGTATCTTTTTATTTTGTATCATTTTCTTTGGAATACCACCCTCTCCCCTTATTTTTCCTCTTTCCAATAGATCTTCTCGACAT